ATATTTATATATAAACATATATAAATAAAACCACTTTTTTTACATTAGTAATTCCTTTTGTGCATAATTTTATATTGTTGTTAATAATAAATTAATTAAAGCAACAAAACAACCCGAAGAGCCGGTTCGAAGCCGAAAGAGCGGCTCTTTTTAGTGAGCCGAACCGAAAGAGCCGGTTCTCTAAAAAGAGCCGGAAATCCCATCACTACTTGCTACGCGGATGACATATTGATATACCTAGATCAGCCCACTAACTCCTTGCCTCCGTTGATGAATCTATGCCAAAAATTTTGGAAACTCTCTGGCTGTAAAATTAATATGTCTAAAACTCAAATTCTCAGTTATAACTATAGCCCTCCGGCTCACTTGGTTGATCGATATCCAATGAGATGGCAAGAAAAGTCATTGAAATATTTAGGAGTTGTTATTCCTAAGGATTTAACTAAACTATTTGAGGAGAACTTTGGTTCCCTACAAAGGAGAATAGTGGGTGATATTAGACGATGGAACATGATCCCCTTTCCCCTCTCTACACTCACGAATTGAATCCATCAAAATGAATATTCTGCCAAGATTATTATATTTATTCCAAACACTACCAATACCTATTGATTCAAGCCAATTCAATGAATGAGATAAAATAATATCACGGTTTATATGGGGGGGGGGGGAGCGGCTGAGGGTTTGTTTTAAAACTTTACAACTACATAAGAAGGCGGGAGGATGGGGGTTGCCGTCACTAAAAAAAATTTTTCGGGCTGCTCATCTGAAGACTGTGGTCAATTGGTGTGATACAAGCTACCAAGCACAATGGAAGACTATTGAGGAGAGCATGTTTTCCTCTCCAATACAAGCTGTCTTGATGGATTCGAACATTCGAGAAAGTATTGACAAGGTTTGCAACCCCTGGGTATCATGTACACTTACTGTATGGAGAAAAGTCGTGAAAGAATTTAAATTGGAACGGGATTTGGCTTTATTTAAATGGTATCCATATGACTCTGACTTTGTCCCGAATAAATTTGACTCACGTTTTAAAAGTTGGTCTGCTAAAGGGTTATCTACATTCAATTGTTTGATTAAGGATGGGAACTTAATTAGTTTTGACACACTGAAACAGAAATACAATCTAGAAAAACAGGATTTTTATCGATACCTGCAAATAAGACATTATATAAAGACAACAATCGGTGTGATGTGAAACACTAATGTGGAATTGGTAACTCTGTTTAGACAGGCGTATAGTGGGGATGTCGATACAAGACTCATTTCCTTTTTGTATAATTTTCTCATAAATAAGCTTCCCCACTCAGCTGACTATGTGAAGATGTTATGGGAAAAGGAGGGTGGGGTATGTATTTCAAGGGATGAATGGTCTCAGATGTGGGAACGGCAATGGAGGAGTACTTCCTCCAGCAGCTGGAGGGAATTTGGATGGAAGTCTATGATAAGGTTCTTTATTACTCCGTGTCAAAAGGCTCATTATGATGTGAATCCTCCTGTGTGTTGGAGAAACTGTGGACACCAACGAGCACATCACACCCATATTATGTGGGATTGTTCTTTGCTACGGACCTACTGGAAAGACATTCATGGTACACTACAAGGCATTTTTGACTGTACATTCCCTTTGGACAGGAAGACAATCTTTTTTGGATGTATACCGCAGAACTGGTCTAAAAATGACACATGTCTGTTAAGAGCTTTACTTGTTGCAAGTAAGAAAAGTATAACTAAGAAATGATCCTTGCAAGATATACCAACTTTGTCATTATGGTGGGAAATTACGCTAGAGATTTATAGGATGGAGGAGGTAACAGCTTATGTCAATGACAGGGTGTGTTGGTTCCGTTCGTGTTGGGATAAGTGGGTCCTATATGCCAATACTCATAAGCCGAATCTTCTTTCCAAAGCTTGAAATTACCAACCTAGCTAACT